TACCAAATTATTAAAAAGATAAGGGAGAGATAAGTGAAGGTATATTAGAAATAGATATGAGATAGAAATAACGAGAAAACGTTATATGCATATCGTGACATTAGGAATTAAATTTAAAAAACAACCAGAATAGAGGATGAATGTGTAAACCAAGTTCTTTTCTTGGTTTATGATATTGAAGGAGAGACATAAATATTTTATTCTATTCTATTATTAAATTGTTGATCAAAACGATGGATGACTCAAAACGTATCTTACGTAACAGAAGACGTAAATAGAATAGTAGTTATGAAAGGAAATAATAGAGAATAAATCATAAATTTATATGTATATATGTGGATTTATATATGCAATAATTTCACTTCATAACTATAATTAAAAACAATTGAAACATTTCTTATTGTTCTTTATTACGCTTTTAAACAGAGTATGATACTGTTTTATAATGTGTGAACTTACCTACGCTGCAGCACGATGTACCCTGTTGAGAGCATGAGTTTTCAATATTTGTAAACATCTGACAGTGATTGGGCACAACACAATTCTCTGGATGACATATTTCCTTCGCATTGGCATATTCTGAAAACAAATTTGATTTTGTTAACTTCACACCTTAATGTGAACATTTCTTTTGTGCTGATGATTACAAAAGAAGTAACGTTAGATATAAAAGGTATACTTGGTATCAAAAATACATATTTTACGCATTTGGAATTACGCAGTTAAATATATTTTAGTCACATAAGGTTAAATATGTGTGTATTAACTATAATAAATAAGATAACATTTTATTGTTTTCTCTATAAATATATACGTCAGGACATAAGAATTCCAGCTATAAAGAAAAAAAATTACATACATTTTAATTTTAATTATTTTGATAAAATATGAGAATATCTACGAAAACTTATTATTATCGTATATATTTGAAAGAAAAATAAATTGATTTTCTCTTTTAACGCATTGAAAAAACTAGGAATATTCTAAAATTAAAAAAACAACAAAGAGAAATATAAAAACAAAAAATATTCAAATAATTTATATACATATCTTATAAAATTTTACAATATTTTAATTTAAAAATAAAATTAATTACAATAAATATAAAATTAATTCTCTTTTATTTCATTACCACTACTTAGATTGTCTTTTTATTGTTAACTTGAATTTGACTTGCAACATTGAACAGAGCGAGGAATGCGAAATTAGAATCACAACGACTTAACTATTATTATTACTCGATTAATTAATTTTTTAGCTATATTTTGTAATTTAATCACCGTTTAAAGATTTTTTAACTGTAACATTGAGAATGACCCGATCGGAGTCGAAACGTATGTATTATTTATTTATTATATTAAACTTTTCTTTGTTACTTTATTTACATGATTATTATTATTTTTTAAATTTGAATTGATTGTTGTTACTAGCTCTTTGCCCTTATTTTATATACTTTGTTTTAAAAATAAAAGGTTTTGAATTCATGAAAAAATTTCGTTAATATTACATTTTGATTTAAATAATATAGTTTCATATTTATATCCATAATAATTTAGTAGATATGTTGTAAAATTAGTTTATTTCTCTTTTAAATATCTCATAGATATGTGAATAAGAATCTATGATACGATAATAATTAATTAAACTTGTAAATTATAGACTCCTTTAATAATACAATGAAATAAGAAAATAATGCAATGTATAAAGTCGTAGAAATCAATCGCAGATTGTTTATATTACGGAACACATTTAGCAAACAATACGTTACATAAATTTGTTATATAAATTTATGATACGTTTATATTAGTGTTTTGAAAATATATTAGCGTGTTATAATTTTTCATTTTACGTAAAAGATGCGATTACTTACCAGTGTAGAGGAGTATAATTGTGAGGACAGCAAATACAAGCGTGTAGGATTTCATTCTTTTGCCGAATAGAGGTGTCGGAGTAGCGTATGATTCTGACAGCCGGCGATTCAATGGTCTCATATTCCCAGGTGCTACCATTATATAAACGCAAGCGATCTCTCGGCGTTACACGACACACGCACATACACGTCTGTGTAAATAGTACACACCCACGACCGAGAGATACTTTGTGACGCGCACTCATCAGTTTACCTATTTTTATCGTTATATGATGTCAGATAAAATTTATTTGTATCTTGATGATTCATTATTTAATAAGTAATTACATGTTCTCTCTCTCTCTCTTTCTCTCTTTTGGATAGAAATAGACTTGGGGAATTCGAAATCATTGTTCGTGCACTTGTTGCATTTATTTCTATTCGAAATATGTGGTACCAGCATCGCAATTCTTTGCCATGTTTTTGCAATGTACTGATAAGTTAGTTGGAGATAATCAACGAAAGTTTGTTAAGCCAATTGTGTCATAGAGGAAAGAGTTCGTTGCGATGCACGATGTTTTTTTATTAATATGTAATTATATTATTGGGCTTTAAACTAATGCATATACACCCTCTCTTTTTTAAATCTTATTGCTAAGATTTTAATGGTGTACATAGGTATTATCCAATTTAATTAACGCATTTTTATATAATAATATGACTAGACATTTTTCTAGATACAAGTTTATATTTGTGTTTCATATTTAAGGATTAGAATTAAAAATATACTCATTATATATAAAATGAACACGAATAATTTTTCTTTTTCATTAATTGCTAATGCAACAAAATAATTTTTTATAAATCTTATTTGATATACTAAGATTAAAACCACGATGGTTGATCGTATTTTTGACATGTTAGAAATATTTTTTGTAATATTAATTCAAGGATTTGTGAGACATTGCGTATCACAAATTTATCAGTCTCATTTGTCAATTTTTTTGCGGATCTGGTATTATCTAATAACATATTATAGACTATATACCAGCATTTTACTCATAAATTTTTTTTTGCAAGTATCATGTGTAAAATTATAAAATTTAATTTATAGTAATAGCGTGTGCAAATATAGTATAGTACATGTTTTATGCTGCTGAAAGAATGATTAATTACATTGGGAAATCTGCAATATCTTCATTTATATTGCAAGTAAAAATATAAATTATTTAACAAGCAGGTAGAGAGAAACGTTTTTTAAAAATAAAGAAAATTTTTATAGTGTGGAAAATAGGAATATGTCAGTTGTATTACGTTACTCATTATACAGGAGAATTTTTAATACATGGATATAACTTTAGAGTAAAATTTATATAGTATGCAAAAATAATAAAAAATTCTTATATAAGCATTTGTTTCATCTGTTTCAGAGTTTAGTAGTGTGTTTCAAACTTGTTTATGTACTTAAAAAAAATACTTAAAATGATCATCTTGAGATTGAATATAAGCTTTTAAATGTGTTATCATTAATTATTCAAACTGTTAGAAAATTTTTACCGTTATTCATCAAATTTTTTGGCAAATTTTTTTTTATATAGTGATAGCAGAATGTGTTAATATATATATATAATACATATATATAGTATATATATGTATATATTATATATATATTAACTATTAATAAATCTTATATTCCTGCAAATAACAACTCGGATTTAACCATCGTAATTGTGATTAACCAAATCAGGTGATAATGAGAGATAATAGATCTTTCATTAGATGAATGAATTTCTTTTAAAACGATAGACTCATTACCAAGCACTTCACGGACAAGTACTCTACAAATGATTTTATCATCCATCGAGATTGATATCAATTTTGTTCTTGTTTACATATCTGAAAATCAATTATAACGATAAAAATTATCTGAAAATTTGTTTAGTTTCTTTATCTTTGAAAAATAAGGGATAGGACGTTTGAACGTTTCTACATTTTTGCTAAAGTTACTTTCATATTTACGAACGAAATTTTATTGTTAGTCGACTTATTGGCATATTCTATAATTATATAAAAACATTAATTATGAATTTCGAGAAATATAGTAGAAATAATCACAACGAATGTTATACATAATTGTTATACAAATTAATAAAATTATTTTGCAGTAATAAGACAAATGCATATGTTGTTATATCATTATTCTGTATCTTTTTATTGACATTTTTATTTTGTATTGCTATCTCGTCGATACGCTCAAGCGTCCGTAATTTGGAATTCCAACAAATATATGGCATTGTTTAAATTTTTATTGATTCCTTCCAAAGCACGATACGTTGCTAGATGTTTTCAGCATCTTCTTCTATTTTTAAATAAAAACGAGCAAAGATATGTTCATGTTGTGTCCTTGAGACAAGAACATACTTGAAATCTATACCTCTTAGCGTAATACAATTCCAACTTAAACGAATAATGGAATAATAAGTACTTACTACTGATGGGCTTCAAATGTACAAGACGACTAAGTTGAAATTTTTAAGGCCTAGTATGACGGTAAGCTAATATAAAATTATTTCACGGTTTAATCGATTAAACATCTGATTTTTTCAAATATTATTTGATTCTATTTTTCCGGATATTTTTTTTACACTTAAGCCAACTCAATTCGTTATATATTTGTGATTTAAGATGAAAAAGAATTAGTGCCATTTTTGCATATCGTCAAGCTTGTAGAAAAGTTAAATATAATAATATAAAGTGTGGAAGGAAAAACAAAGAAGCAGCCGTCATGAAACTTATTGCCATAAAAATTTCTCATTTACCTAGCGTTAAGACCTAAATTTATATGTACAAATGGATAGACTTTATCAGTACTGAGCATATTAGCGTACATTACATGTTTATATTAATGTTAGAATACTGTACACGATAGCACTTTCGTGAGAATTAAAGATTTGTATTGACTAGAAAAAATGAAATCTTATTAAACGTCCGGACAAAAGTGACGCGATTATACACTCGAGTTGAAGAAGAATGAAATGATTGATCTTGAGTATCCGAAGAAAATAAACTTAACACTTATACGTCAATTATACATCTCTCCTTGTGTTCGTTTGGCATTTGTTCTATTATCGCTATTGCTTGTCTGATTAACAGATTGCGCGCAATAGAGTCTGCGGGAGATCATTTTCGATCATTGCTGAGCTTTATACTCGGCGTGCGATTTTTCATTTGTCAAGTTTTCTGCGCAAGAGGAAGGAGACACGAGATCTAGTGCCTCCGATACATATGTATATCTAAAACTAACGATTGTACATTTCTGGAGAATCTGATTCCACGCAAGGCGTCATGCCTGGCGAGTATAATCTCATGTAATGCTTTGTCTTACTCGGAATATTCCCGACGATGTCGTTCACATTCCGAGATATTAGCTGTCGATTCTGTATCACAGTTAATCAAGATTATTTATGCACCAGGTCGATAGTCCGCTATTATATTCTTCAGGAACATGTAAATATCCTTGAAGGTTGGTCGTGATGTCTCATCTCTTCTCCAACATGAGCACATCATCCGATAGACCTCTTCCGGACACATTGTTGGTTTCGGTAAAAGTACCTAGAATACAAATATTGAAATGAAATAATAGTAAATACGCTGAAAAAAGAATTTAGTCATAGCTATACTGTTAGACAATACTTACTAAATATTTAGGAAAGTAAAATAATTTTTGTTATATTTTTTAATCAAATGATTAATTGGCATTATTTCACTAAACATTTGGTAGTTATTTCTAAATTTTTTTTTCAGTGTAATAAGTAAAAAGTTTTGTCCAATTTTTATTTGTGATTACCGCAAAGTATAAATTCTAATTATATTAATATTCCCTCTCCCTGTACAATTATTTTAAAAAATTATTTTTAATACATGATTAAATATTTAAAGCTTGATTGAGCAAGATTTAATTAATTTGTAATGTGTTAAAATTCCATTATCAAGTAAGATTTAATGGTTAATCGATGGACTAGAGAGTGATTAATTATAAAGTAATTGCCGATCAGATATTTGCTTACTTGTAGCTCTGCTCCGTAATACATATGTTCAGCATTCTGAATCACTTGATCATTTGACAAATGTTGAAAAGGCTTTTCTCTCGCCAGACTCATTACTTCCCAAAGTGTCACGGCAAATGACCATATGCTACTTGAACATGTATACCTATCCTAAAATTTAAATATTTAACAATAAGTACCGTTGTTGTTCGCTCTTCATGTAAATTTATCTCACAAATTCTCAGCGAGAAATGAACGTCAATTAGATGTCAATTCGACTTCTAATTGATGTCGAATCATTAATATTACATTATATCAATGTCAATTCGATATTAATTCGATAAATCATTTCTCGTTAGATTATGACATTGATTTAGTAACAAATTTTGTATTGAATCTAAATTCTGAAATAAACTTTTTTGTAAATAAACATTTTGAAACATGTTTAATTTTAATAACAAATTATGATAAATCCAAAATAATTTTTTTTAATTAAGAGGTTTGAATAGTATCTAAATTATAAATTATTCAAAGAAAAAACACTTTACAAATTTAAATATTATTAGATCAAAAGTTCATGTCCAATGTATTATTAATTTTGAACAATAAATCGGGCATGACTTTTGCACTGACCTAATATATAAAAAATTTATTTTAATTTTTAGTTTATACTTTTTGCGTGCGTTGCGCGCACACACACATATAAAAAATTATACACTTAATTCAAATTTAATAGCAATCTTTTTGGATATTTTTGCTATTGATTACAAATTAGCTAATAATTGTAATAAAGAAAACTGTAGAAAAACTTGAAAAGAAGAAGCTTACTTACCAATAAAATACTTTCCCACGGTAACCATCTTATCGGTACGGGTGGTCTACCTCCTATATCGCTGTAATCTTTCTTGTAAAGATCGCTGCACATGGCTATATCAGTCACTTTCACGGTGTAAGAACGGCCTACCAGACAATTTCTGGCCGCCAAGTCTTTGTGCACCAAATTCTTCGATTCGAGGAATCTCATTCCTGATGCTATTTGTGTTCCCATATATAGCAGACAACTTTGACTAGAAATAATCAAATAAATTTTATGTACGAAAAAAATTCGTAAGGC